ATTACTTATGAAATAAGTTTACGATATTACACATTACGTTTCATTAACATTTCTCTTTTTTAAAAAAGAGATCACGGATTGATTGGATACAAATAAAATTGGACTTTACAATTGTGTTTTTCTCTTGTGTTTCACTCTGGTAATCGATACTGTTCAAAAAGAAGAATAATCTTCCTCTTCGACACGACACCGAGCTGACCGAAACGTGCCACGATCTCCAAAAGCTTTTGAACTTTTTTCAATTTTTCTCTTCCTTCCTTCCTTCCTTCCTTCCTTCGATTTTTCATTCTATTTTATATCGATGCACGGATTGAAACGGGACGAAATGCATTCGAGCATGAAATACAGGAGATTTTTTTTTTTTCAGCAGGATTTCGGTGAATTCGATCGTATATCGGCAAGGTATTCAGTCAACTTCAAAGAATCACACGCATCGACGTCGTTCCATCGTGTTCCATCAGGTACGAATCGATTATTCGTTAATCCTTTATAACGCTCTATCTATGTTCACACGTTTTCATCTTCAAAATTTTTATATGTACATCATTCTTTTCCATGTGATTCAACTCTCTTTCCAATATCTTTCTTTCATTTAACAGTATACACGCATATATAAATATATTTCAACCGAATAATGATTTTTCTTTCAGTCGTATCGTATTTCTACGAAATTCGGAGATCGAAGAAACAGAATTATCTTTGTTCGATCATTTGTTGAAAAAAAATGACGGTTATAAAGAATTATTAGAGCGATCGATTTGTTTTCAGGATCAGAAGACGTCGAGGGGAGAGGGAAAGAGAGACATCATCGACTGTGGAGAACAAAGAACCATTTTTTCGTATGCGTGGCGACGGAAGAACGCGTGCAGTCGAAGACTCGCGAATCCGAATTTCCGCTGCTGATCCGCTTCGCTTATTTACAACATAGAGAAGAGATCTGCCTACCGTTTACAATGCTATTCATATAAAGGCGATACACTCGGGAAACACATGCATGCATGGCCGCAAGATTTAACCAGAGCGGAGGGGGGAGGAGTTATCGGCTACATAGACAACAAGACGAACCGATCGCATCTCGTCTCGATCGGGGCGATCAAGATCCGACGATGGCGAGCAACGATGACGTTGCTTAATTTTGCCGAACCGGTGTCTCTAATTGAAATTGTTCGATCCAATCGTTTTGTCGATTAATCAAAAAGACACCTTCATCCTCTAAGCGATTAGAATCTCTTTCTATATAGGTTGTTATTTTTCGTTCGATTATTCTATTTAATTATTAGGAAATAATTATTAACTTGGAATAACTGTTAAACTTCTTTCTACAGAGAATAACGATCCGAATAATTGGAAAATATTTTACGATCCACGAAGTTGATAATCCGGATTCTATTGGAAAGTTAGCGAATTGGATATAGCGTTTTCGTTATGAAATTGCCATGACTCGTCGCCATCACTCGTCCCCATCGGATCTAATATCGGAGGGCGAGTAAGGGTACTTGTTGCTACTTTGTTCGGCTATGTATCGATTTGTTCAAGAATGTTCGTAAGAATGTTTTTAACAATTTATGCTTAAAAAAAGTTTTGCCGTGTATTCGATTAGAATGGAATAGAATTTGTCACGAGCTCGTGGAACAGCTGAATTTAAGCGAATAATTAAATTTTTATTAAAAAGTAAACAATGTATTCTAGAATTGTCAATTGTCTAAAAGAAGAAAAAAAAGATCAGAAAGAAGAATTGTACCACGAACTTCTTGAACAGCTCAATATCATATACACGTTTATACCCTCGTTCATAAGTATTAAGACATACTCTCACTATGTCTTACTCTCACGCAAACAGATCTTAGAATTTTACGTTCATGCAAGACGATTTAGCTTAAATAGAATTTAGTAAAAATTATTTACAAGCTCGTAAAAAAGGCGAAACTATATATATATAGATAAGAAGAAATTTCAGAACGTATACGAATCTTTTATAATATCCAACTTTCTGAACAGCCGATGATAATTCCAAAACCTTTCGTCGATTCCTTAATAATAATCCCATCGATTTGTCTCATCCTCCACAACTAATAACACACATGTCCTAATACACATGAACGTGAGCATGAACGTACTTACGTTATTACTCTACTTTCCATCTTGATAACGATGAAGCTGTAAAAACTTTGGAAAAAGATCCCCTTCTTCCCTGTTCGAACCGAGCAGGAAGAAAGAGGATTCTTCGCTGCGTGTATGTACGTACGTATGTATGTATGTATGTATGTATGTATATTTTTAAATCCCCCCCGTTTAAAAATGGGGAGAAAAACGATTGTATCTGCTCCATTAGTAGAGGCGGAATATTGCTCCATTTTTTTGTTTCCTTCTTCTTTTTTTCCACGCGAAGACAAGCCTACTCGATTTTCTACCGTTGCCTCGAAACATTTGCAAAATATTTGCATCCCTCCATTCGAATACGATCCCTTTTCGTCCGAATAAATCTCCCCTCCTCTCGGAGGAAGGAGGGGGTGGGGATCTTCCATCATCCCCCGGAAACTTTGCTCAACACGAATTCGAAATCTGGAATCTGAAATCTTGCACACGGGGGCGAGAGCAGATCGGCAGATCGAATCGAGCAGATCTTATGTATGTATACTTGCTACCTTCCCGCTTAATTTCCGACGAGACCACGCAGTCTCGTGGCGAGGCATTATTTCCTCACCAACGAGACCAGGCCACGGTGCGTCAGCTTCGGCTTGATCGACGATTTGTTCTGACCCGAGTTGGCCTGCTGATGATGACTTCTGCTCCCCGTCTGCTGCTCCCTCGCGTTCTGCTTCTTCTTCAACGACTCCTGCTTGGCACCTCTGTGCATGTGAACGCAGCAGAAGCTGTTTATTAGCGCGACAGGCCGGAAAATATAACGTTTGTCATAGTTTGCCCGGGAGACGTTAGTATTGTTAAAAGAAGAGAGAGAGAGAGAGAGAGAGAGAAAATAAAAAGAAGTAAAAAAGCTAAACGGGCGAAGTGAGTTTGTTAACAGTGTTAAACAGTGAATTGGATGGTAAGAGGGTGAGAGGAGGGACTAGCGATTACGTTTAAATTTATTTCGATCGAATTCAACACTTTTAGATATTTTGTTGTTAGCATCTCGCTTGAAACGTTCTCTCCACCGAATTTCCATCGATTTCGTTAATGAAATTAAATTAGGGCTAATCGTTGGATTGTTAGAAATTGTTTGAACGAATTGGAATTCAGCCTAAGGAAAGTTATAACGATTTTCGTAAATTATTCGACGATATTGTTCGTCTTGTTTGGCTTATTTATAAGCACATTTTAGATAAACGTAAAAAAAGTAACGAGGAATGATCTTATAAATAAATTAGTCGCTAAAGAAGCCTTTCGCACGCTACTTGATGATTGACTCGAAAAGCGTTTAATATCGTTAAATTAAATTTGACGTGTTGAAGAGATGCAATCGATCGAGGCCGGTGTTCGAAGAACGGTAATAAACTGTTAAAATTTCTAACTTTTAAAACTTTTTCTAAAATTAAAAACGTTTACTTTATCTTAACAACTGATCCCAATTACAACGAACGGAGGAAAAAGGAGGAAAAAAATTGTTTTTCAACGTTCCTAGATCGTACAATTTCCTACGTTCACACCTCTAATCTCGGGTTTAATCTTTCTCGGGTTAATTTTTGATGTAACACGCCAGCCAGTTATCGTGCTATATATTTCGGTAAGGAAGACAGGTAATTTCGCAAATAAAACGGTGCAAGAGGCGAGGAGGGAAAAGAAGAAATGCGGTTTCGGTACGCGAAAGCGTTGATCCTTTTTTCCCCAAGGGTTCTTGTTCTACTTTGCATTCAGAAAAATAGGCCATGCGTCCTTTCACGGCCATGCTTTTTTTTTTTTCCTCTTTCTTTAAGCAACCTTAATTGCTTCTAGGAGATTGTGCACGATTACTCGAGAAATAAAAGTGCGAGGGAGAAAGAAAGAAGAAGAAAAGAGAGAGAGAGAGAACGAGGTTAAAAGTCGCGCGAGACGAAAAACTTACAGATATCTGGTGAGATCTTCGACGTCGACGAGCATCGAATCTTGTTCCATGTGCAAATCGTCCCTTCTCAAAAGTCCCTCGACGAGCGCCTCGTTCAGAGCGGCGATTCTCGCGTGCAAGTCGTTCGCGACCACTTGAAGCTGGGCGACGTTTAGCTCCGTTAAAAGTACTCGTGACAATCTACGCCTATCCTCGCCGAGCTGAACGCCAACCTATTGGAAGGACAAAGCTTAATTTTTTCTTCTCTCTCTCTCTCTCTCTTCCTCCCTTTTCGCGCGAGAAATTATTATTATTATTCCTCCTATTCAATCCAGTTCTTCGTTCAATTTAATCGTTTCGCGCACGTAAAATGTTGAAGTGAAATACGGATATATAAAATATGTTAAATTTTTAAAAAATATTTTAATCCTCTCCCTTTTCGTGAGAGATAAATAATGTTCGAATCGAATTCTTCCTTCAATTTCATTTTAGAGAGTTTAATCGGTGAAGATCGTTTTATGCGCGTGTATATTATTTGAAATAATGGACGAGATACGAAGAATTGTATGTTTCGATCTTTTGTAAAGATTCTAAATTTTTAAAAAATATCTCCATCCTCTCCCTTTTCGTGAGAGATAAATAATGTTCGGTTTATCGAATCGAGTTCTTCGTTCCTTCTAATTTTGAAAATTTAATCGATGGAGATCGTTTTATACGCGTATGTTATTTGAAAAAATGGAGGATTGTAAAAGTTGGAAGAGAATGAAAGATGTATGGCTCACTTTTTCGAGGCTGGATCGCACCATCTCGGTGATGGGACTCTGTTTCAGCCTTTGCCTCTCCACCTCCATCTGCATGTGGGCCATTTCTTTGGCCTGAGCCAAGGCCATTCGCGCCTCGGTTTGCAATCTTGCCTGTCTTGCGAAGAAATCGGCCTCGTCGATCGGGGCTGAATTCGAGCCTGTGTCCAGCCTCAGAGGTGGAAGGCTGAGCACCTGAGGTCTGATTGGCATTTGCTGTTTCTGCGGTTGCTTCGAGTTGAGCGAGGTCGGCGTGGATCCCGGGGACGAGTCGGTCTCCGAACACGGAGATTCCGTGTCAGAGGGTGTTTCGTTCATGAAGCAGATTTGAAGGTTCATCCCTGAAAGAAAGGAATGATCTTCGTTAATGATAACAAAAGATGATAAATTGAAAACAGTAGCAAGACATTTAACAAAAAGAATTCCTGTTGCAATTGTATTAAAAGCCGATCGATCATCAACAATCAAGACCAGATTCGAAAAAGAAAAAAAAAAAAAAGAATTCAAATTTATTTCGCGGCTCTCTTTGAATGAAAAGAAATTAAGAAAGACGAGCAATATAAGAATACACAGAGTCACAACGATCAATCACCGTTCGTTTCGACTCCTCGAAATAATCGAAGGTTTCATGGTACATTGCATAACAATTTGCAATCACTATTCAACGCGGAACCGAGTCGAATGGAACGATTTCTCGAAAAAAGAAAATCCTCCATTTACAAATCTAAACTGAAAAAAACTCTCACTCGCTTCGTTGTAACTTCATTCAGCCAGCAATATCGGTACCCGCAATAAACTTCAAGAATCGGAACATGGAAACCGAACTTATTTCACTTCGTTCGATCGATAAATTTTCTCTCGTAAATCGACGCCCCCACTTTTCGAAAGACAAGCGACGAGATGGAAATTTCATTCGCGAGAGAGATCGCGAAAAAAGTAGTGATACCGACCGCTCTGAAGCCGCGACTGAAGGCTCGGCTTTCTTCCGCGTTCAGCGCGCAAGTCTTCGGCGTCTGGACCCATGGCCAACCTCCTTCGTATCTCTTCACGATCGTTTCGCCGCTGTGAACAGACGGAGAAATCTGAGGTGTGATCATCGCTCGTTACACGCCAACAACGTGGGGGAATCCAAGGGGGTGGAAACCCCCTCGATGTCTTTAATCTTCCCCTTCCCTCCCACTCCCGCCCCTCCCCCTAAAACTGCGTCCCGACACTCGCGTGGGAGTGAGGTTATTAATGAGATTGACGACGATCTTTCTAACGTATTTGCATAATTGAGGTGTGATGAGCCATTGATTAATTGTCGGGGCGAGAAATTTCTTGCTTCGATCGTTGCTGGCTCCTTTTCCTTTTTTTTTTTCTTTTTCCCTTCTTCAATAATTTCTATTGGCCTCCGCGAGAGAGGTGGGGTAAAGTGATTGGACTATTTGAACCGAAACAGAATGGATTGGATTAGAACAATGGTACTGGGAATGAAGAAACGTGTGGTGTTTGGAATTGGAAAATTTACGTTGCTTTTATTGGCTTTACGTTGTTTTCGTAATATTGGAATTTTATAGATTTTTTTATTTCAATGATGAAATAATATTTTTCAATAGAATTTCTTCCAACGGGAACGAGTTATACGGTATTTTTATAATGAAATAAATATATCATAATATTTTGGCAAGAGTTTTGAAAATAAAACGAAAAAAAGGAAAAAGTTTCAAACTTTTATCCTCATGCCAACAAAAATTGAATCTTTGTTTTGGCAAGAAACTAAATTTTTGGCAAAAATAATACGTCGATCGGTATAGTATAGTTTGGCTCTCCCTTTTGGCAACCGGACTTTTCAATCAATTTCTTTCAACTCGTCGAATGAAAAGAGGAAAAGTTACTCATCGAATCATGATCTAAGCGTGAAATCTCTTATCTCGTTTTAATACTTCCCCTCGAAGGGGGGAAACTTGGAAGGAAACGTTCTTTAGGATTCCATAGGATCTTAACCTATGGAAGTCACACCTGAAAAGCTTCATCCGGATCTCCCCGCACCACTCTATCGAATCGCGTGACAAGATCTTCCCTTTCAGGCTCCTTCGTCGTCCCACCGGTTTTCTCGAGCAACGAGATCCTTCCCTTTGGCCGTTCCTTCACCATCTCTTTATCGTCATCCTGATGCGTCCCAGAAACGAAAGCCAGGTTTCGGTAATCGGTACGGTCGATTAGACGCCGATAACTCGCGTAACAAAGCGTGACTCGCGATCGAGGGAATGGCGGCAGAGTCTTTCTACAAATTCTATCGTCGAAAGAAATAATCTCTCGAACTAAAAACTATCTACAGTTGGCAAAAATTTAATTTGCAATTCTACAAACACGTACTCGATCCATTATTCGCTTTCGATATTCCGTGCATCGCACGCTTCGCCTACGAATTCAACGATTAAACGACCAAGTTAATCGGAAGAGGCTCGTCGAACCGTCAAGGTTAAGTTCAGATTGGATTGGAAAAGCATATCTATATGGAACATTCTGTGGAGATTCGTTAAGAGAGCATTCCACGAATGATTCGTTTGTAAAACGTCGATTCGATGTGAAATATCGATATTTGATGGAAGAGAATGAACAAAAAAATTTGTCGAAATTATTCTCTATGCCTTTGGTTTTCATCCAGTTTCACGAGCGGAATTTTTGGACGGAATGTACACTTTTTTCTTTTCCTCCTCCATTGCGATTGTCAAAATCAGTTTCCTTAACACCTGTACAGTTCGACCCACTTTCCTCTTCTCTCTGATTCTCTTTCTGATTGAAAGAGTTTTTCGGCCATTGATCTTCTTTACGAGAAGAAGGAACGATTTATCGGTTAGGAACGGTGAAACAATGCCTTCATTGTTCGATATCCTCTACCATCGAAAGAAATCCTGTTTCTTAATTATCCAATCGAATAAATCGAGGATATCCTTTTAGTTGTTACAAAAATTAAGAAACAAACTAATCGTTTTACGTAATATGTTTACATTTATTTTCATCCTGTCAATAGGTTGAAATTGAGGAAATTAAATATAGAAAATTAATAAAAATAGATAACAGTACACAGATCAACGAGCAATAAAATTTGTTATTGGTTTGTTTCTTAACTTTTAGAGAACGCTTTATCGTGCAACTTATTAATTAAAACGGGAATACTCTGTCGCCATTCCGTTGTATCACGATATTTAAATCTTACAAGATCGAAGTCATCGTATGTGAACGTGTACAGATCCGTGACGAATCTGGAATCCTTTTTGTAATGTTTCCTCGCCTTGTTGCTGCTACCCATGTTTCCAAGATTTGCTCTGATTCTTCCACGTTTTTTTTTTTTTTTCTTCTTCGACGATTATACTCGTCTATCCATGCAAAATAACGGCACGCGCACTTTCCCTTCACTTTGTTCGCGCAGCAAGAGTCTCTTCTTCATCGAGCGTCATCGAACAAACAAACGAAATTTCACAACTTGATGAGCGTGTAAATCATCGATGAAAAGACGCGTATGGCGCGCTTGTGTTGGATGGATGGTTGAAAGAACGTTGTTGGATTTTGTTTCTTCGCGCATCACAAGATACGCGCACGAGACGGGCTTTGCTTCTTTCGAGAAAAAAAAGAAAGTTACTCGAGCGACTCGAGATTACGAGATATAAATACGGGTTTCATCGAATGATTTCTTCTTCGAAAAAGTCCAGTGTGCACCACGACCGCCCACTTTCCTTCAATTTGTAACACAATGCCGATTTCTCCTTCATCCAGGAAAAGAGTAATTTAGAAACAGGTGTCTTGATTGTTTCATTGTTTTTTTCCTTATGTACGATCTAGCGTTTTCTAACTAGCGTTGGATCATCGATTCTTTTGCAGATTCATTCCGCAATTATTTTTTCATGTTTCATCTCCTTTATTTATTTATTTATCCATTGAGATGTAACATTTACTCGAACACAATTTCACATATAAAATTAAAAAAGGAATAATCGGGGTATTCGCTAAGAGGAACAGAAATTACGTTATGAATTACTTAATATTAACGTCGAATTAATTAAAATTCTTTTTTTAAATTCAGGAAAAAAAAAAGCTCGAGCCACAAGCGAATCTACAAGATCTACGACGAGTTCGTTCACCCCGATTATGCGGCGTCCCCTTAATTAATAAAACACACGTAGAAGAGGACTCGTGTACATGGCGCAAACACGAGATGGAAATAGGATTTAATTACGAATCGCTCCTTTAAAACCGAGCGGCCATTACCGATTTTCACCCACGATTCAACAACATTACCTTCCTTCCTTGCTTCCTTCCTTTCGAGAAAATCGAAAATCTTCTCTCGAGCAAAAACGAATCGCGCATTAAATCGAATCACGACTCGCTCCACTGGTCGCGGCACTAGATTAAAAAGGAAGAGATACCGAATTGTCGAGAAGAGATCGTACGTTGTTATTCAACGGCGAGAATATCGATGTCTCCTTTGACCCTGGATAACTGAAACCGCAAACGGTGACGAAACATCGAACAAATAATCGACGCTCGGGAAAAAGATCGAATTGCTCGATGATCCAAGCTCGAGAGATTTTTGCGCGCTATATCGATTATCCGCACCATAAGTCGATCCTTCTCGTGATTAAATCCAATTAAATCGGAACGAACAGTTTTAACCAAGTTTGCGTTGTCCAGCGTCAAGTTTGATAAATCGTCATAATTTAATAAGCTTTCAATCCTCAGATCAACTTTCGATTAATTTATTATCGACGACAAGATTTTATCCTCCTTCGACGATCCAACCTCGAGGATTATCCATAAGTCTATCCTTCTCGTGATTAAATCCAATTAAATCCGAACGAAACAGTTCCAACGAACCGCATCCTCCAAATTAATCCAACCAAGTTGCGTCCAGTGTCAAGTTTGATAATTAAATCGTTATAATAAGCTTTCGCCGTCAATCGAATTCTCGATCGACTTTCGATTAATTTATTATCAATGACGAGATATTGTCCTCCTTCGATGATCCAAGCTCGAGAGATTTTGCTCACTGTATCGATTATCCGCACCATAAGTCTATCATTCTCGCGATTAAATCCAATTAAATTTCAACGAACAGTTCCAACGAACCGTATCCTCCAAATTAATCCAACCAAGTTGCGTCCAGTTTCAAGTTTGATAATTAAATCGTTATAATTTATACAAGGTTTCGCTCGTCCACCACGAGTCGACTCGTGCTCGATCAACTTTCGACGATTAATTATTCGACGACGAGATTTTATCCTCCAGTTTCTTCCTCCGTTTCGTAGAAACGGAAATAAACGACGAACGAGATAAGCGGCGGAGTTTTTGCGACGGGAGACTCGCTTGAGACGGGAACAACACGAGACTGGTATAAAGTGAGTCAAGTGAGCGGCGAACCGATCTTCCGGTAAGGTTGCTCGAAGGAGGTGGTGGAGCCGGTGCTATTAACCGTCTACCGGAGGCTGGTCTAGCTCGGGTTTTCACGGTGTTCGGTGAAAGTGGTTAAGGTTTTCGTTCGACGCGCGAGCAACCGGAGGAAAACGTTCCTCATCTTGTTTCTCGCCCAATTATACCGATTTCGATCTTCCACTTCGAGTTTCGACTTTCTATGGAGAATGGAGCGTGTATTCGATTCACGAGTAATCATGTAAATTTGTTTTTAAGGTACGAGTCACGTTGAGTATATTGATACTATTGGAACATTCTATGAAACGGTGGATTTTTGCTTGCCCGTATTATTATCATCGATTTAATTAATAACTCGAACGCCAGTTTGGAAAGTAACGATTCGAAATTCGCGAACTTTCGAACGAGAATCATCCTAATGAAATTTTCCCCGCTTTATTTTAAACTTTCACGTATAGATAAACGAAAAAAACTGTAGAGTAACTGAGAAAATGGACAAGTTTTCTTGTTTCTCGTAAACACTTTGAAGAGCTTGCTCGTCATTGTCGTAATCGCCCCTCTGGCAATCTCGTTCGTAAAAATACCTTTGGAAACAGGTCTTAAAATTGGCGTAGCTGAAGATGGCGTATCTCTCTCTCTCTCTCTCTATAGGTCGTACGCAAAGAGTCTCGCTTGACTGCTCATGCGAATCTTTTGACCCACGGTTACGGCTCTGCTTTTAAGGTGCAATGATACGTTATCTCGAGATGCTAGAGTCGTCGAGTTAGCTGCTCCCTTTCACAAAAACTGGTTCACGAATAAGCAATGAAAACACTCTTTCGTCCGCGGATGGAAGAAAGAATATTTCTTTCTAAACTCGATGCTCGATCGTTCCTCAATTTTAAATTTATTTTATCCGCGCTATATCGCGGGGCATCTCAAACTCTACCGGTATTTCGATCAAATCAATCGAGATATGTAATTCTTCATCCTTTCTTTTCCATTACGTTTAAGCTCCCTTCTTTAAAATTTTACGCGCCGAATTATGTTTATCTGACGGTTGCATCGATCGTCCCCGACATCCGTTTCCTGTTTCCCTATTTTCCATACAATGGACAGTGCGCCGTCGAATATGGATCGTCTGTGCGTTTAACGAGACGATCTCGCTATCGGGACCCTGAAACGGGATTGTTAAGCCTCATCGACCTTATTTTCCACGTCAATAATCCGGAAAATATCCGCGCGAAACGTCTCGTCTGAAATTGTTCGCGGCATTTTCTCCTTCCATTCTTCTACTAGCCACGGTAGTGAAACTATTTGTGTGAAAAAAAATTCCATTTTCTTTTTCCTTCTCTTTTCCCTCCTTCTCTCATCGAATCCGATTTTTCCTCCTTCTCGGAAACTGTGAAAAACTGGGTTATTAAATTAAACGTGGATTCTTGTTATTTAACGTTAATTGGAATCGACGCGTGAAGCTTTTCGGTCGAAAAAGAAAGGAAAGAAAAACGATTCTCTGTTTTCCCTCCGTCTCTCTCTCTCTCTCTCTCTTAAGATTAATTGGGTTAATTAAAGTTCGAAGAAACTTTTTTCACGTTTTAAAGAGGATCGTTCCTTTCGATTGAAAATATTATATATATATTTCAAAATGGATGGAAAATATATATATATCATTCCGATCTATAACATTCTTCTCAGATAATTTTCAGCACGTGCCTCGAACGAATAAGATTCGTTATTCGTTCTCCTTTTAATTTTAAATTAATCGACCAACGAAATTTTCACTCTTCAATTTTCCAGCCAGTTTCTCACTCTGGATCGATGTCTCTCCTATCTGCATACACACACGCGCGCGCGCGCACACACACACACACGCGCCCACCGCATCCTTTACAATTTTATTTGAAGCAATCGAGCGAAAGTTTATCAGGCAAAGTTTGCAACGTTTATGATATATACACACACATCGGGTGTATATATCTCGGCCTTCGAACGAAACCGATTCAATCTCGCCTCTCGTTTCGCGTGAACGTTCATTCAATTTTATCGGTTGCGCCATTTTTTTTTTTTATCCGTGAGAACATCGGCCATCTGGACGCGAAATTGTTACTTTTTTCCCCTCTCCTCTATCCCCCTCCCTCGTTTCTCCCGCTAATTATTTTCCTTCCCTCGAGCGACGCAATTACGTTTCTCCACCTTTTGCTCGTGCACACACACACACACACACACACATACATACGAGTTCTCATCGAATTTTCCATTTTCGCTTAACGATCGTGTTTACAAGAATTATGATGGATAATTCCCATCCTTATTTCGGTTATCTCTTTTTTTTTTTTATTATTCATTCACTTTAATATCGATATTTATCGTCACATAACCTTCTTCCATATTTCGATATCGTTTACGCGAATGATAAAAAACAGCCTCGTAGAGATGTGAAGGTGCGCTGTTTTGTATTTCGTTTCGTGATACATCGGTGGTATCGCAATAAGTTCTCCTTTATTGGGTGAGATTTTTTTTCTGAATCTTGTCGATTTGAAGAGAATCGAATTTGAAAGTAAAATCGTAGGTCGAATGCGTAATCGTTGCATCCATCTCGACAAACATTGCTCGAAACACACCCACCAAGTATTCCTTTAAACATCTGCATCTCTATATGAAAACATTGCGCGACAGTGAGACACGAAATAAAAATTTTCACAGCGAGATTCCACGAGCGTCGAAGTTGTTTTCTTCTCGACGACCGACTCTTTTCTTTTCTTTCGCAAAAAGTGATCGAAGAAATTATTTTGCGCGTCTGATCAATCTTGGAGTAAAGAAGTCACCAGGTACGATGCCGTGTACAATTATATTATATATTTATAAAAATATATATATATATATATATTTTTTCACTCACCCGTCGTTCCTCTTCGCGTGCAGCTCTTAAATGAGATTCGATCGCGTCCAGATCGATTTTCGGCATCGCTGTTTCGATGTTGTAGACATCGAAGCCGCCTTCCATGGAAAGAAAATCACAGATATTGAGGTATTAACCTTAGAAACCTTAGCGTGTGTATCGTTAATGATAATCGCACGCAATTAGAAGCGATAATCGAAAAGGAAAAAAAAAAAAAAAAAAAAGATATCGTGGAAACTTTTGTTTGGCAACTTTCCAAATTTTTTCCACTATTATTTCTTCGCTTTTACTTTCCTTGATAATTGTAATTGAAATTTTCTTTCAGATTCGCAACACGATGAATATTGCACATGCAATTTTACTCGCGTACACCGTGAAATTTGACGAGGGACGAGCATGAGAATACTTGGGAGGAAAAAGCGTAAATGAGAAGGCATCGTGAAAGGCATCGTGCCACGTATAATAGATACGTCGAGGTGCTTTTATTGTCCTAGAGATTACGCTAATCGTGCTGGCTTCCTGCGTGAAAAACGACAAGAAAATTTGATTCTGATTACGCCCCTTTTTTCCCCTCTCTCTCTCTCTCTCTGTATGTGTCTGGTTGCGTAAAAATCGAGATACGGGTTCCACGCTCGTTTTATTCCGTGCTCTTGCACCGTGAAATTTCACTTCTGTTAAAAAACTGGAAGCAGAATTAATCACACATGGTGCAAAGAGTACCGGAAGTGCCGGAAGATTTTTCATTATCTTCGTGACGTTTTAACGAGCGTTAAAAGTTTGCATGAAAATGTTCGATGTGACGAGTAATTTAACGACCACGCAATATCGATATTTTTAATTATTATTCTCACGATCGTGTAATTCCAACAAATTCCAAATTCTTATTTCCAAACACATCGAAGGGACTCGAAAGTCAATGTAAATCGCATTCTCTGGAAAATGATTTGATATCGACTTGAACCAATCGCTTCGACAAGAGTTTGCCATTCACTTGATTCCCCGATTAAAAACAAAATTTTTCAACTTTCAAGGAATGTGACCGTCGCTCCAAATTTTTTCCAACCCTCTCACACGAACAACCTGGTCGATAAGAGCCAAATCTTCCTTATCCCGACTGTCACACACACACACACGCACAGACAGCTGGTACGATATATACCTGGTCCATTATCGGGGTCGGCTCTTCTCTTGTCGGGCCGCCTCTGAGCGTTGGCCGCCCTCAGCTGGTGCAGCTGTTGCTGTTGCTGCTGCTGTCTACGTTTCGCCTGATTCCTGGCCATCTTCTCCTTCTTCCTGGTGTCGGCGCTCGACGCCTCGGGTAGATCGCGATCCATCAGCTTGTTCGTGTCCTCGATGGTGTCCTTCATCATTGAGGAGGAGGAGGAGGAGGATCTGGAGGAGGCGTGGAGCGGGTCCACTGCTTCCATCGCGACCACGTCTGGCACCGGTTGCACGTACTTCTCGAGATCGACCCCGATATCACGGCCGATGCTCGACAGGAGATCGATCTCCTCGAGCTTGGTGTAGGTGGGCTGCTCCTCCGGGTAGCTGTCGGTGTCGGTGTTGCTCTCCGAGTCGTCGTCGGCCGAGCCGGTCGACGTGACCGTCTGACGGTTGCCTATTTTGGAACGGGTCTGGTGAGGCAACTCCTTTGCCTCCCGTATCAGGTCGATGTGCTCCACCACGATATCCTCCGTCTGAAAAAAGACAATGCTCGTTAGCATTGGGTGAACGCACGCAGCGAACGGGATAATGCCGAGATCCACTCTCCGCTTTCCCGTTTATCGCCTTGTCTTCGTTTTTTATCTGCGAATCTGTGTAATAGCATTTGGAAAATATCATTTCGACTTGGCTGGTTATATATATATATAAAACCAGTCATAGCAATGTACATATATATATATATATATATATGTTTCGTATGTCTGAGAATTTTCTTTTCTGAAAATTTCATGATGAATGTTGCGAAATAGAGGATAAAATTTAATTGGTAAAGTAGAGGCGTCGAATTATTGATGAAATCGTAATGTCGACGTGGAAAGCGGTTTCGTTTGATATTTGATAAAAATTGATCGATAACGAAATTAATTTGCGACTCGTATCGCGCAACACTTTGAATAGGAATAGGTAGAGGCGCCGTGTAAGTAATCGATAAAATTTTCACTTCGAGCCTTCGAGTTTACGACATCACGAAATCACGATCGTTAAATTAGCGACCACTCATCCGCGACACGGTTGCAAAAGAGCAGCCTGATTCACACCATCGTTAATTGGTATTTAGTTACTACGCGGATCGTCCCAAAGTTTGCGGAAATTGTTGATCAACGTGGTCGTGTAACGTACACGTAGCCGGCCGCTCGACTGACGCCGTTTTAAAACGAGGAACGTATATACCGTGAACTCTGGTGAATGCATTAATGTGTTATACCGCACGCGTGTGCGTCCAGTGTGCAGTCATTAGTCTTCCACCATGTACCAGCGAGAAGTATGACACGGACGATATAAAACGAATTCTCGTTAATCTTGATTGCCCCGTGCTTCATCGCAACAGGAATCGTTTCTGCCGTGCTCGGTTTTTAATCCTTAATTGCTGTGAAAAATGGCAGCAATTAAGCGTCTTTTTTATTTTTTTTATTCTTTTTTCAATCCTATCGGCGGATGAATCGATGAATCTAGATGTCGTTCGTCTCTACGTAGTTTTAACGTGAAACACATGTTTTGTAATTGAATAAAATTTAATATAAGAACGTTCGACTCCTCGAGATAAAAATTTATCTTTGAAACTTTCTATCGCTGCCAGTTTCTTTCAAGTTCTTCTTCTACTTTTCGAAACATGGCGAAGTAATAATAATAAATAGGTGAAGACGAAAGGAACCCACCTCACCGACCTCGCTGGTCTTCCCAGAGTCCGGTATCTCCTCGATTTCCGGGAACTGGAGGGTCTCTTTCACGCTGGTCGTCAATTCCACGATCTCGACCTCGACCGGGATCTCTCGTTCCTGTTTCTCCTCCAGCACAGCCTCCGACAATTCCGCAGCGTTCTCCGCGACCGTGTCGGCGAGGCCCTCCTCCGGCTCTAGAACAGTGAGATGCGTCTCCGCCTCGACCACGTCGTTCACGATGTCCGATTTCGGCGTCACGATCTTTTCCTCCGTTCTCGAATCCTCAACGCTTTTCACGTAGTTTATGCATTTCTCCGATGGCGGCACCACCGACTCGTATAAAGACGTTACGGTCTGGAAACAAGAGTTGATTCGAGACGATTCAGTCCTCTTGGGCCTTGGATGCCTGTTTAACCTATTCCATGTGCCAACGTCGGCCGAGTTACTGTTCTCCTTGTGTCGTACAAGTACAACTATGCGGTACAGCGATTTCGAATTCGAAAACTATGGTTGTTACAAAAATTATTTGCAAAACTAATTTCAGTATCTGATAAAAAGAAAGTATATATACGTACAAATATTTTTTGTACACGTGTATATGTATTACAGTTTGATTCGATTGTATTATTATTAACAAAAGATAAATATTGTGAATTTTTGTGATTATTATACGAATTGGATCTAAAATAATGTACACATATATTCATTTACAGGGGGAACGCACGTAAGATTAGTAATCCATTTTCGAGAGCTTATAGTCGGTGTGTTGCCAGCCAACAGACTGTTTCACACATGACGACTAAAAGCGGCGGTGTTAAGAAGGAAAGTAACGCGTATATACTTAGATCTGGAGCGCAGCAAGTTTCTTTGAAGCTGATCATTGGATTCTCGTACGTTATCGCGTTGGCGTCATTGATTGACTGATTTTTCTTTTTTTTCTTTCCCATACCACGCTCCTTTTAATATTGTATTGGCCTGAGTTTAAGAGGTGGCTACACCACGACTAATTTAAATATAGAGGGAAAAATTCGAGGCATTCGAAGGTTGCTATAAATAGGCTGCAAGCCGAGAACGAAAGAAATTGGAACATAATTGAGCATTGCTCTGTTGGGATGTATTTTGGACCGGCCGGGACAAAAGCTTGAATGAAAGCTGTGGCTAAATTTGAAACGCGCCAAGTCGATTAATCATTATCAGTTGCGAGTTCCATTTTCCACTTTTTTTTTTTTCCATCACTTTTCTTCGATCAAACAAAGTAATTCGAATATTGCCACGATCTATAACAATTATCGATTCCCACTTTTCAAACAATAATCCTCTCCCTCACAAACAAAATTTCTAACGTGTATTTCTTACCCAATCGTAACGTAAAAACAATATTTTTCGTTTATATATTGAATTTAGATCATCCTTCGGACAATTATAAACAAATTATATATCCTACTAACCAACCTGCATATCATCAAATAAGAAAATAACCAAAGAAATAAAAAACCTAATCCAACAATAGAAAAACAATATTATTCACCTGTATATGTGAATTTAAATTTCTCGTAAAATATCATTCTCTCATTCCTCCATTGAACAATGCTCATACAATTCACAATACTCATAAAAATCTCCAAATACGTTATCCTTCGGACGATAATCTTCTTCCTTATATAACGAACTACATATCCTGCTAACCAATCTGCACATCATCAAATGTAAAATAACATACATAGAATAACCAAAAAGAAAAAAAAAAAACCTAAGCCCAACAATAGAAAAAACAATATTATTCACCTGTATATTGAATTTAGGTTTCTCGTAAAATATCTTCCTCTCGTTCCTCTGCCCGCACAAGTGATTGATGCTATCCTCGACGTTGTTGTTGTACTCGTTGTCGTTCTCTGCCGGCCTCGCGTCGATGTCGTTCAGCCTTGTGTAGTCGCAGCTCTCGTCCTCGGTCAGATCTGTGTCCGACAGAAGAGAAGGCGCCAAGTGTTGAAAGCCGGGATAATTGGGGTTGACGATACCGCGGCAACCGGCGGGCAGATTTCCCTCCTCGGACCAGTCGGACCACTCGGACGGTGTCAACTCGTGGGACGAATCTTCGTGAGAGGAGTTACGCCCTAAGGGAATTTCACGCCAGTTGCACATTGCACGAATTAATGAATAATCGGCGCCGCGCCACTGACTCATCGCAGCAGCTGCCCGGACGCATCCCATCTTTATCGAATCGCTTCATTGAGAGAACGTTTTCGAAAACGTTGCTTGGCTCCGCATGCTTCGCCTGGCAACCGGGGATATCTGGAGCTGCTGGTGAATATTTCTTTCATCTTGTTTCTTTTCTCTTTTTTTTTTTTGCGTTTATTTTGGCGAATTAAAAGGAAAGCAAGGTTGGAATGGAAGCTGGGGGGGAGATGTTGGAGAACGAATGTAGAAACATTTTTTTTTTTTTGATTGGAAAAATTATGAAGAAGCGTAAAATATATTGGAAAAGTGATCGTGTTTGAATATTCGGGTTTCTCTCTCGTTTATTTGAAAAAATATGGGAGAAGCATTGGAGTGTGATTGGAATGGAAACCGAGGGATATGTGTAGAATTTTTATCGAGGAATTATAACAGATAGATCGGTGAAAGAAGTAAGGTAATGGAAAAGTTATTGTATTGAAGAATTATGGTAAACAGATGAATCGAAGAAAGGAAGGGAAGTAATGGAAAAGTGATTAATGAATTTGAAAGATTTTGAAAGGGGGAAAGATTAGAGTGGTTGGTTGGAGTAAGAAAAGTTGGAGAAGGAAAAATATGATCGTAGATTTTTTTTCCTCTCTCAAGTTTGACAGAAAAAAAAAAAAAGAAATTATTTCTCTTTCGATGAAACTATGAATACGTCAATAGCGATATTAGAACAGAAAAATTATAGTTAATGTCAAGGTCTGCTCTTAGACCTTGGGGAATCAGTTTAAAATATCGAAGTTCGTGACTTTTACGATAACGAGAAATTAATTATCACAGGTATCTTATTTTTATTTATTAATCCTATTTTTGAGGAGAGGGAAACTTTATTCGCTTCAAATTATATGAATGAAATTTCTAAGCTAGAAATTTTTCTCTCCTATGATGAAAACTTGTTTAAACAAGTTACAAGTTTTATATTTATTCTAAAGTAGTGTTTTCCAATAGACTATTTATAAATTTCACGTATATACAGTCAGATGTTCGAAGTTATAATTAAATTATACGTAAAAAAAAATTGAACGAATTTACTTATCTCGAGTTTCAACCTCTTGAAAATGAAAATCGTATAAATTTCAGGAGAGAAAATAACTTGTACTAAAGTATCATTCACAAATTGATCTTCAAAGTCCGACGATAAACTTTATCCAATATTTAATCAGATCACAATCTCTCTGCTTAAATTGGTAAACATGAACGACAATCTCGATAATCTATAATCTATATTCTTCAAGGCATGCGAACGAAAGAAAATAAATCAATCTGATCAAATTTCCGCAATTCCTATTCAAAATAAAAACAAACTTCTATATTTATACCACACTAAATCTCCACATTTAGAGGGTTTATTTTCAAATTAAACAAAATAGAAATCATTCCATAGCAAGCATCGACAAACCTAAAAAATCTTCCTTCTAATTAAATTTATATCATTAAATTTTGAATTCATTTCAAAATGTTTCAAAATTTCGAACTCATCGTTTTCCACTTTACCAAAAAAATCGTTCCACGAACAAAAATTATCTAAAATCCTGTTTCACATAAATTTTAAGATCTTCCTTTAGAAGATAAATCTTTCTTCGTCTCATCGTTTCATCCAGACATTCAAAACTTCACTCACACTTCCTCACTTCACTAAAACAAAAATCATTTCACGAATAAAATCCTCTTTCAAGTAAATTCATAAATCTTTCTTCGTCTTCATCGTTTCAAACGTTCAAAACTTCACTCACACCCACTAAAACAAAAATCATTTCAAAATCATCGACGCATTTAAAATCCTCTTTCAAGTAAATTCGTAAGTTTCATTCAAACTTTACCCTCTCTTTAACTAAAAAAAAAAAAAGAAAAGAAAAACAATAAAATAAAAATCATCCCACGGACAAAACTTAAATCGATGTCTAAAAATTCAAATTGGTCTCGAAACTTCGTTCATCGATCATTTCTCTTTACCTTGAAAAAAAAAAAAGAAGAAGAAGAAAAGAAAAGACGTTTTTTATTTACCTTCGTAATCGGGCAAACTTTCCACAGAGCTGTTCCTTCGTATCCGCGGGATCGTCAGATTGTTGTTCAAGTTGGCGACGTCGTTGGCCGAGGTATCGATCTGGACATTCTCGCGGGTGATGGCGATCGAGGACCACGTGCTGGTGTCCTCTGCGACGCGGAAATCCTGGCCGACCTCCGCCGCGAAATCGGCGTTGATCCGACTGGCTGCGACCGAGTCGGTTCCGGCCGGGGCCTCGTTCCGATTCGCGATCTCCTCGGTGATCGGCTGGCTCTGCTCGCTCCTACGTAACTGACTGCGACCGAGACAGAGAAATGAGCCCAAGTGGATCGATACGTTCCGTTACCCGTACGATCTATGACGATGCAAATATAGGCAGCGTACACCCACGTAAGACTGTGCAAGGAGCGGTGGAAGGCGCGCACGAGCTGCACGCTCTTGCTCACCCACACACATCTACACCCTTTCGTATAATACCGCCGCCTTTCAAATTCCCCAACAAATTCACCGTTTTTTTTTTTCTTGTCGATAAATCGGTCCTCTTCGATGTTCTTCCTCTTTCGGGTAATTTTTCTTAATTATTTTCATTCCTAGATTTGCTAGATCTACTCGTGTGCAATTGAGATTGAGGCTGGAGAAAGAGAAGTTTTAAATATTCTCTTCGTGGTCTAGATCTATTCGCGTTACATTGGGATCGAATTATACGTTAATTACCAGATATTTTCAAATTTAAAATTCGAATCGATTAAGATGTGGGGTTGTAAGTATTTGGAGTTTAGATCGATTGGAGAAAGAGAATGGAATATTTGCAATCTGTTTAATTAAGATTGTGATTTATGATAAAAGAACGTTTGCGTTTATTGTTAAATTTTGTTCTTAGCGATCCAGATTTATTCGTTAGAATTCAGATTGTTGTTGGGAGAGAATAATGCTGTTGTAATAATTTTGGTAGCGAAGGAAAAAAATTTTCGCTTTTCGAAAAGTATTGTTAATAAGTTTCTTTCGAAATGAACATTTCAAGGGTATTTTTAAATTATGTGACGAAATATCGATGACGAAGATCGTAGTAATTTCGAAGTATTAAAATTTTTATACATAATGCGCAACAATTATCTCGTTCGATGTTTTAGCGAATTATTAAATTATCGAGAGGATCCTCGATTAAAGTTTTATTAAACACGTCTTTCGTCTTTCTTTTTAAACGACAAAATAACCGATAACGTTAATGTTAAATTAATTGAAGGGTTAATCTCTACAACGAGATTTCATTATCTGTCGATTGAAAAATTTTATTCGTTGTACCATTTTATCCTCGAAGAAAATATTTATTCCTCCGCTCGCACAATCTCAATCGTAATAACCGAGAAAAATAAATCGTTAGAAAAATTCGTGTTCGAGTTTCAAAATTTCCATTCAACGTATCCAATTTTTATTTTTTTCTTTTTTAATTTCAATGAAGGCACGAGACATAGAATTTCATCGATTGTACACGAGAGAGGACGATTGTACACCTATGTAAATAAAATACACACACACACACACACACACGTATCTATAAAATTAAAACACGGTGCAAAGGAGACGAATCCTCTCTACGAGAGATCAAACAGCAGGCGGTCGTTAAACTGGATTTGGAACGACAAGCAATTCAGAAACTGTATGCTGTATGTACAACACATTTTTCGAGCTCGTCTCCGACGAGTTCGACGATCGTGCCCGTTAAAAATCCCTTTTGTGCAGTTGAAATGTGCAGTTTCATCGCCATAGGAGGTCATCATCAACACATCACTGATAGATAAATAAATACGCGTGCGATTTATGCTTTTGCTTTCAGAAGAAAAAGGAAAACGAAAAAAGAAAGAAACTGCTCCTTCAATCCTGTCGCGTGTGGAAAATAAACTCGCATGCACGCGTTGGCCATCGTAGGGATCTGTAATCTCGAGGGGGTGTGTGTGCGAAGCGAGAGCTGTATCTGTGATAAAAATGAAACGACATACGTAAAGAGAAAGAAAGAAAAGAGGAGAGGAAGGAGAAAGGAATATTACCAATAATTTTCGTGAAATCGCTCGCTAGAGAGGGACGCAGGAGGATCGTAAAGATACAGAGCGTTAATCCTCGGAGTATCGGCCAGTTGGACGATCCCGCTGAGGATTCGGTCGGTCTCTCACTGACTTACCGATACTTTTACCACGAGCAGAACATCGCAAAGAGAGGATTTTTTCGCGACGCTCCCTTATTATCTGCTCTCGTATTTAAACATTTCTTCGTCGGCGAGACGAAATTTGAGAAAAAGGTAGGGGACGAGCAGACGATATGGATGATACTCCGGGGATTAAGAAAGAAGAAGAAGAAGAAGAAGCGAGACCAAGGGGACATTGTTCGTGTCGAAAAGAATTGGTCGGTTGGGAAACAAGGGGGTAGCAAAAGTTCATGCGACACAATCACTTGTTGCGGCTGTGTGTGCGCGTGTTCGATGCAAAAACAGGTGTAATATTATGAATATTTGCAAACATCGATAAAAATCTACACGTTTGGTTGGTTGGTTGCTTTAATTTCTGATTCTGCTTTTTTCTTTTTTTTTAATCAACAGCACAGAAGAAGCACGGACAGATTTAGAATGCTTGGATGAAACATGGAAAAAAAAATGGAAATAATAAAAATGATTGTACGAACGAATATATATATGTATGTATATATGTATGTATGTATATATGTATATATATATATATATACATAATATGTAAAATAATACGGTAAACTGTATCAAAAGGGGGACCGTTTAGAGTCAACACTAACCTTATGATTTTTCCTTTTCAGTTAAATGCCTTGGCATTGCTAATAATAAGGTACGGAATAAATATTCTACAATTTACCAACTAAGTTAAGTAACATTTAAAGCTACTCGTTGCTTAAGATCCGAGTGAAAGCTTTTTAATTAATTTAAAATTGTGAGCATCTAATTCTACTTTAGAAGATTGTTAAGATTATTCTAATTAATTACAAATGAGAGAGAGGAAAAAAAAGTGAAAAAAAAGATGATCTATCTTAAATAAATAACGAAATAAATATTACAATTAGGAATTCGTCGGGATACGATCACTACTATCCGTAGTAGAACTTTCTAAACGTTTTCACTTCGCATTTAATTTTCAATAAATCACCCATTGTGAACACGCATCGACGGAGGAAACGTAAAAAGGCAAAAATTAATTAATTCGACGGTAATGCCACAGAGCGTTACTGTACAATAATAATAATAATAATAATAAAGAAAAAGAAACGACATTAAAAACGACCACGTCGAATCAAGCGTCACATCATCAAAAAACGCACAATCCAACTTAAAACTGATATTGTGTAACATCGCAGAGCATCCCTCGAATGGAAAACGGGGAAAAAAAAAAGAAAAAAAAAACACTTTTCTTTCCACTTGCAAAATACACGTACGTACGTACGTGAATTTCATTACATAATGAAAGAAACAGGAGGAAGGATACAATAAAATTAGAAAAGGAAGAAGAAAAAAAGAGGAGACGCAAAATAAAAAAGGAAGAGTAAAGTACAAAATTTACAATTTTTAACCAGCTGGAAAGAAAGAAAGGAGGAGGAGGAGGCCACGTCATTCGCTTGGAATCATATAATTGTCGATCATCGAACGAAAGAAAGAAAAGAATTTCCCACGCAAGAAAACACACTGGCTCCCTCTCCGTGGCACGAGAAGAAAAGAAGCTCGTCGAGGAGATTAAAAAAGAAAGAAAGAAAGAAAGAAAGAAAAAGAAAAAAAAGGAGAAGCGACCACGACGGCGACCACGACGAAACGAAAATTGTATCGTGCGACTTGATATAACACGTTGAACACGTTCGGGAAGGCGAGGAAGACGAACGACAGGCATCGACCTCGTCCCTCACTGCAATTCTCACTTACTTGTTGTTCAATCCCCCAGGATGGAGCGGTATCGAGACGACAGCCTCCCTGAGCCGCATATCGGATCCTCGTCTGAAATCAAACCAAAACGCACACACGAGATGCTTCTCTCTCTCTCTCTCCCCCTCTCCCTCCCTCTCCCTCCCTCTAAGTTCCTCTCTAAGTTCGATCACGTTCCTCGTTCGAAAAAGAGAATCGTTGTTCCTCGCACTCGCGCGTACTAAGCAACGACACGCACGCACACACGTAGAGGGCACGTAGTACACGCGTAACACGAGTGCACGGGCACGCGATCCGCGTGGTCGCGACGCTCATCGCGAGATCATTTTCGCTCGATGGTTCTCGAGAGGATGAGGAGAGGAGAGGGAAGAAAAGGAAGGAAGGAAGGAAGGAAGGAAGAGGGAAAGAAAAGAAAAGAAAAGAAAAGAAAAACGGTACCAGCGGTGGAGAATCGATCGTGTAAGACGACCACCGACTCCGCTTCTCCTCGCTCTCTACCCGGCCGAGAACATCGAACGAGGAAAAAGGGAATGGGACTCACCGGCCGCCATGTTGAAGCCGTGCGCAAGGGTGCTCGCGTTTCCAGTGGTTTATCGACTCGCAACCAACACCCTCGTTCCGCTCTCCTTTCGCTCTCCTACCTCTCTCGCCCTCCTTCTCCCTCCATCTCTCTCTATCCCCTACCTTTCTCTTCACCCTCTCCCTCTCTTTCGCTCCCTGCGCAACGTGGACACTTTACATTTTAGACGATCCTTCGTTCGTCGTTTCGTTCTTGTTATCCCCCGTTTGCATCCGGATTTCTCGGTTCGTTATGCGCTTATTTTTTTTTTTTTTTTAGTAGAGAGGGAGAGAGATTTTTAGGAATTTAGGTTGCGTCTTTTCTCGAAATGGATTCCGGTGTGCCCGGTACGATTCGGCACGAGGGATGTTTTGGATAGGTTTGGCAGGCGGCGAGGGGAAAGCGTTTAATCGATCGCTGCCTTCTAGCCCCGTTTCCGGCATTCGTTTTCGCGGGTTTTTTGAGAATCGTGAATCGGAAGAATTGGGAAGGAGATGGATGGATTAATTATGGGAGAAAGTTTGGAGAACGATAAGTTGAGATGATCGAAGAACGAAGGAAACGGTAGAGTCGATAAATTTTTCTCCATTTATCCTCTTCTTATCTTTCGTCGTAACTCGAAAGAACGTTTATTGGTAGTTTGCAGCGGAACCGGAAAAACGTTCGTCTCATGATACTCGAATAAATTTCTCTTTTTAACTATCTAGCCGGCATCGATTTATACAATACTCCTGATTTATTATTCTTCTAACCGACTTTTGCACCGCTTATCTGGACGTTGGTAAAATTTATTGGCCAATCGGTTTGCCGTCGAAAAAGTATCGGCTAAGTAACAGTTGCGAACTTTCCTCCTTCTTTTCGATCGCTCCCTCGAGATTGAAACCAACAGTGGATTACCTTGTGCGTATCTGTTTTACTCGTCTTGTACTTCACCTCTGTTATTTGACGCCTACTTATTTCCTAAGGTTTCTGTTTTCTCATCCGTTTACCTCGATTCTCAAACCGCCCCGAGGAAAGCACTTAGCGGAATAATCGGAGGAGAATTTCTCGATTCGCCTTAACCTAAACGTAATTCGTGAACAGCGGTAATTCGAACGATTCCATATTTCGATTCGAATCCATATTTATTTTTATCGCGGATTGTAAAATTGGAAGAAAAAGGGAATGGGGGAAAAATTAAATCGATTGATAATTACCACCAATTTTGATTAGAGATAAGATCCAGTTTTGTCGAAACGTTGGTATAATTCGATGGGAAAAAAATTGTTCTCGCTTTCGAATGCAAAAAAATAGCGCAACGTATATTGTAAATTTTTACGCCAATTGTCACCGAGAAAGATTTATCGGCTACTTTAGTCGCTATGATATCACTGTTATTCAAGCGTTGATGCAACCGAACGTGTCGTTCTGACCTATTTATTATTTTCGAAGAAAAAATAAACGACGATCGGAATCAAACTCCTCGAGGAGAATTAAGATCGGCGCGGAATGGCAAAGATCGCTGACAACGTGATTCCTATCTATAACAGTTATCTCTGATTGATCATTGCCTCCATCATCATCGATTGACCCAATAATAAAATTCCAATTTTCAAAGTATTTTTCCAACAACGATATTAAACGTTCTCTTCCTTCGATCTTTAAAAAATCCAAACGTGACAATTCTCTAAAAAAAAAAAAAAAGAAGAAGGAAATTAAACACCTTACCACGTCTGATCTCTTTCGTCCAGATGATTGAAAGAAATTATCGAGGTTATTCAGAAAGGATGCAGGTGAATCACAGTGAGTGTCGTTGACGAGGGAACGATCATTCATTATCGAACACTCGAAAATGAGGAGAAACGAGAGGAGGAGAGAGGATCGCACGGATGGAATAACCGAGCGTGTTTTCTCGACCAAGGGGAGATTTCGTGTCTCCTCTTCGTGTTCTCCCTCCATCTCGTTCTCCCTTACTTCTCCTCCTCCATCCATCTCTGTTTGCGTGGTGTACGTCGTAGACAGAGTCACCACGCATCGATCGAGTCCTTTCTCTACCCTTCCTGGTAGCGACCTTAAGGCCGAGTGCATACCGAGTTTAGACAAGTATCGATACACAACCGTTGGAATTATCGATAGACACGCGAGAGATGAACCGCAAAATTGAATTGATAATGAGAGACGAGGGTAGCAGAGGTTTTTTTTTTCGTCGATCGAATCGTCGAATTGCGATTCTTCTGAGTTTTTTTTTTTATAAAATATCGGAGAATAATGGAAACGGGAGAGGAAACGATTTTATAAAAAGAAATTTGTTGTTTTTAAATAAATAATTGATTTCAAACAAAAGGAAAATCAAATATGCAACGCCCGCGTAAATATTTGCGTTCTGACGAGCAGTTACGAAATTTTACGAATATCAATATATAACGCATATATGTATCGCATACGTATTTAAATAACTCTATTTTATTCAATCTCGCGAATGAAAATTTTTCAAAAGTAAATAAATTTTCCATCGTTCGAAAATGAATATTGCTCGATTGTTATTTCCATTCCATGACAAAAAATGAAACGAGATTCCAAACAATTTTTGAATTTCCCTCGAACAATCGATAAAGAATATTAACACGGAACGAAAGACAATCGATTTAAATCAATTTTCCATCGTTGAAAAATGAATACTACTTATTTCCATTCCATAATAAAAAACAAAACAAAAACGAAACGATTTTTAACGTTCCCTCAAATAAAGAGTTTTACACGCAGCAACGAAAGACTATTTTATTGCAATACGTTCGATCGTAAATCACGTTTCAAAGGTGAATAGGAGATAATTGGCGTACCAAATGAATTACTTTAGATCAATTTCCTGTGTTACGCGCACTCCTGTGAACGCGTTAGTATTGTTTCGCCATGACCTACTGCACTTTCATAATAACTTCCTGTCTCTCGTCTGTTCTCTCTCATTATATCCGTATGTACAAAAGAGTTTAGATTCGTAATACGATCCGATTCGACCCTGATCCAGCGTAAATTTCGTTACACGATTCGATTCGATCGATTGGGACGCGCGATTCTTCTTGTCCAGGAGACTGTTAAGTCTACTTCATTGAAATGTACTCCTCATCGGCCGCCTTCATAAATATTGCGGTACAGGTCGCATGAATAAATCGTAAATGAAATGTTCTTTGAGAAGAATACTGACGACCAACGCGTATATAGGGCCAAATACGGGGATAATGATTGCATTATGAGAATAAAGAAGAATATTATCCCTCCCTTTCGCGAAGATTGGAAAATTACGAAGGAAATTTTACGTATTTTCTTTTCACTTCGTCGTATTAAATTGTTAAGTATTTCTTTAGAATTGTAAATTACGAGGAATATTTATACGAGATGTTATCATACACGATGCGATGATAATAATGAAAGTTTATTTGATATTTAGAGACGAATATTCTTTTGAATATTTTTTTGCGGGAGATTTTAATCGAAGAGCGGGTAAGAAATTTTCCGCCACCAACGCAGAATTTTTTGGCATAAGTCAGCTACTTGGGCAACGATACTTCGCTCATAATCGCTCCGGATTGTGTATTGCCTATATGATACCAGACTTCGTGGCTCCATACGTACAACACATGATACGTTTGTCGCTGCCGGCCGAGGTCACAGTCGATAAGTTTTATTCTTCTGTCGCGAGACATTAGTAATAATTCGCTCTAAATACCATACTTGACATACATACGTGTTAAACGATTGAAAAAAGTCTGTATTCCAATATTCAACTCTCCCAGATCGTGTAATTTATATTTTATATTTGTTTTGCTATGTAATTTTATTAAACATATTAAAATATATATTAAATTATTAATAAAAAAAAAAATATCAAAACCTATTTTCTTCGTCAATCATTCTCTAACCATTAATTCACGAAAGAAAAACACAAATTTATCCTCGACGTGAATCCATATTCGAATCCATAATCTAATCCTGCCTCTCCTAACTCTACCAATTTCCAACCAAACTTCGTGAATTATCCTAGACCATCGCGTCTCGTCGCACTTCCTCCCTTCAATCGTGCAATCATCGAACCGATCGAGAAAAATGCACGAAATTTTCTCGAATTCGATTTCGAAAATTCTCCTCCCGAAACCGCGTTCGTTCAGCGTGCTCGCCGCTACGCTTCTATTCCCATGTTATCGGTCTTTTGTGTACACCCCATGGCTACCCAAAGCCATCCAAAAACTCTCTCTCTCTACTTACTCGATGTTTCACGGCCTTTACTTCCGCTTATTCCTTTATTTGCCTTCCCAAGATTCCAGCAAACTTCTCTCAGCTTTCACGATCGTGTCGCTGTCCTCTCATTCCACGGACCAGATTCCACCGGGAAGATCCACGCACGAGGACAGAGAGAGAGAGAGAGAGAGGGAGAGGGACGTCGAATTTTCGTAATTTCGCGGCGATATCCAACGTGAAAGAAACGTTTCTTCTTTTCCTTTTACATGGACCGGGAGACACAGTGGCCTGGAACACTGGCGAAAGATGGTTTCGATGCACTCGCGAACAACGGGAGGAGACTGGGAGAAACGGTGTCGGCGTTCGATCTCTCTCTCCCTCTCTGCTGCTCCCCTCGCGCTCACCCCCCTCCGACCGGGGTGGTGCATGCGCGTGGCCGGGCGTCGGGGTTGCTGACGCCACCGTTCGAGGTGAGAGTTTGTTTTCAAGAAGCTCGATATCGAGCCGATCTCCCCTTCGATTCTCCTCTCGTCGATTAAAAATTACCACTGTTTTATTTGGTGTAAAGAAAACGTACGATTTCTTTCCTCGACGGGTATAATATGTATATGTGTGTGTGTAGATAGAGTCATCGATACGATGATAGAAATAACGTGACGTGAAGTATGTTTTTTCGTTCAGTATTTTTTTTTTTGCTTATGAAATTTTTACGCGTAATAGATAAAAGGTTCTTAGCAAAGTTTCTTCTTCTTCTTCTTCTTCTTTTTTTTCCCGATGAAAGAGATAGTATGTTTCGAGATACGAATGAGATTACTGATATCGCGTCTGGTTCGATATCGGGAGAAAAAAATAGAGATATCGAAATCGGAAATACAAATTTTATTGCGGGAACAGAAACGTGTGTATACGTATGTTTTATTAACTTTAGGGGAATCGTGAATCTTGTGAAATTGTGATGGAAAAGTGGAGAGAATGGAATAAAAATAGAATATAGGTCAGATCCAATTTGAAAAAGTGGTTTTTGTTCTTTCGCTTCTTTCCGATGAAGAGGGTAACAAAGAAAATAAAGTGATACAGTTTTTTAATAATGATTTTTGATATCTTGCTTTTGTTTTAAAAATCAAATATTGGATTTTGAATTATTTCAAAAGTTATTGGTAAACTAATAGGTTTGAACGTGCTGAAAGTTAATAGAAGAAGTGAATATTAAAATTGCGTTAAAATAAATATTTGAAATAAAAAATACGTATGATATACGAATATTAATTAACAATATATCTTTGATAAAAAGAGTTACGTTAATAATCTTTCGTTTGAAAATGTTTAAAATGTATTTATGAAACAATACATTTCAATTTAAAATAAAATAATATTACGAATGAAATAAATAAAATTATGTGAATATAACATGTATTTGTATATATCTGAAATAAAAGTATTTTTATGCATCGTGATATTTTCAATATGCATTTATAAAAATCGGAAGCAACAAAATATAATATCTTTGCAATTTAAAACTTGTCAAAACATTAAACATTGCATGATTTCGTAATAAGCCAATGACCGAGAAACGAGTTATTGCCACGTAATAGGGATACCACGCAAATATTTAAGATATTACTCACGATTGATATCGACTCGATGCATCTTGCATAAAAATCTCACTTCAACATTTATTATTAATTCATAAAATTAAAATTTATCGTTTTTGCTGGAATAAAATTTTTTATCAATAAGTTAGTCATCAAAGGAGATAATAAAATTAATCGGATTAATTTTTTTGAATGCATAAATTTTACAGAGTATATATAGATAAAAAGAGAAAATAATGGAAGAAGGACAGAGATAGAGTGAAAATTGAAATCAACGCCATCTTCAGATTGCCGCAAATGAAACTAATATAAACAAGGAGAGAAAATAGTGGAACAAGATGGAGATAGGATAAAATATTGAAATCAGCGCCATCTTCAGAGTGCCTCAAATGAAACTAATGTGAACAAGGAGAGAAAATAAGTGGAACAAGGATGGAGATAGGATAAAATATTGAAATCAGCGCCATCTTCAGAGTGCCGCAAATGAAACATAAAAGAAAAGGATAGATGATAGGAATTGTCTCTCAGCGCCATCTCTCGAACGTTAAGAGTATCTCCTTGAAAACAGAATAAATAAAACGCTCACAGATGGCGCTAGTTTCCAATTCTGTCTTTGAGATAATATGATTGATACTCGAAAGATGGCATTAGTACTCAATTCCTACTCTGTTTCTATCCTTCTCTTATCATTTTCTATCCTTTCTTTTTGTGTTTCGTTTGCGGCACTCTGAAGATGGCGCTGATTTCACAATTTTTACCCTATCTCTGTCTTTTTCCCATTATTTACTTTCTCTCTCTTCCACACGCGTGACATGCAACTTGTCAAATAAATGACAACAGAATTTTAGAAATTATATTTTTATTTGATTCTTTAATATGTAATTTCATATAAATGATTTTTTAAGAAATCATTTATCATCGAAATGATATTTTAAAAAACATCAAATTCAAAAAATTAAAAATATAATTTTCTTTTTAATATAATTATAATAAAATGATATATAACAAAAAAGTGATCGTCTATTTTTATATTTTTTAAATATGAAATTATTTTTTTTTTTTTTTTTTTTTTACGTGATAATGAGTATATGAAATAGAATTATACGATTAGTTTAAAATTTATTCGCCAATTAATTCGATTCTTCGCATTAATTTTCTTTATAACACTTTTCGTTTCTTTTCTTGTACAAATGATCGAACGAACGAACTTTGTAAAGGGAAATTTATTTGAAGGTATCTTAAATTTTTACTTAAAAAGAAAAGAAAGAGAGGATGATAAAGCAAAAACCATAGGCACAATTTACATAACATATTCATTTTTTATAATCTCATATCATAATATAATAATATTTGTTTTAAACAACGCTACCATATATGTATATTTCTGTATGATTTCTCAATTATAAATCTTAGATAATTCGACTTATCGGTGTTCTAATAATTACAAAAGGGGAATAATAATAATAATAATAATAATAATTATTATTATTATTATTATTATTATATTAATAATAATGCTAACGTATTTCCAAAAATATGAATATATCTCCTCGCGGTTTATCACGAAAAGTCAAACGACATCGCACACGCCCGATCACGCACGTGTACATAACAATATTATTTCTATTTATTTCTTTTACATGTATAGCGTATAAATTCCTTCTATATCTCCTACTCAGGTAAATACAATATAATAGATATAGTTCGTATCCGAGGAACCAAATTTTCAACGGAAAAGAGAAAATTTGGAATTGTGATAAAAGAAAAGGGATGAAATAGAAGAGAGAAGGGAAATGGGGCGTGGTTATTCCCCGTAACGGTATAATGAGATGTTTCCGTTATACAAGGTGATTCTTTTGTTGATATATCGAAAATCATTAACATCGATTACATACATTCTCGTTTTCGTTTCACACACACAGTACACAACATTGATTTCCTATTCCCCTTCCATATTAATTTATCATACATAACATAATATAATGTATTTTAAAACAAAAAATTTTTTCACTCTCATTTGTATATATAATTAAATTAAAATTATTATAATCTTATTCATTATATGATTTCATTGCATTAAAATATGTTTCAAATGTAAAACAATTGTTTTACTAGCAAATAAAATAATAAATACGTAATTCTTATTTTATTTAATTTTATAACGATATATTATGAATCACCCTGTACATCGAATTTTCTCCTTATACCATCTGTACATTAACCGAACCGTCAGGAAGGTATAAAGCTATTTGTAAAATCGAAACCATCGTGGAGAACGATTTAGTTTTAGACTTTCGGCAAGACGCTATTTAACGTTCGCAGAAGGCGATTTAATCCTTTCAGCACTGTTGTTCATCATTATATCTCTCCTTCTTAATTAAACAGAAATGAAACGAAACGCATTTTATTCAACTGTACATGTTAATTAAAAAGATAAATTGCTTAGAAAAATTGGAAATCGTCTTCTTGAGACGAACTCCGTATAAAATTGTTACAATCTCAAACAGCATTTAACATTTCTGTAAATATAAATGAAATTTGTAACAACTTACAATTAATATATACTAGCTAAATATATATATATAAAATATATATAATACTTTGTTACATTATGTACAATTGAAAAATATACGTTTCTCATTTTTAAAACAACATTAAAATTTATTCCCCCCTTTATCTCACGAACCATTAAAGATTAATGATTAAAGAATTGCTTTCATTGCGTCTAATACACGATGTAAAGTTTCCAATTGATATTCACATCATTTTACGTTGAAACGTGTTACTGATACAGCGCTGAAAGGATCGTAGAAAGCCGAGAAAGAAGCGATTTTTTAATACAGGCATATTTTGCATGATAAAACTTAACAACTATCCCAGGTAAATGTCGGTTAATGTCGTTAATTGGACAAAGAGAAACGGTAATAAATGTTTCCAGCGATCGTTGCTTTCTTTCGAAACGGATCGGATCGAGCAAGGCAAGTGTAACGAAACTTTCCTATCAACAATTATATTTCTTCATCATTTTATTTCAGTCCTAACTAGATTCACTTTCGCGATATAAAGTTTCTTCTGAAGTATTTTTCTCTTGATGATACATAAACATTGATCGTGTATACAATTACAAATATATCTTTCTTCTTCTTCTTTTTTTTTCTTTTTTACATACCGATTTTTTCTAAACCGCGATAAAAAGATTGTCCTCTACGTATATAAGGCACATCGTTGTTTCTTCTCGGATCACAACACGTAATAACGCAAGAATGGCTTGATGTCCAAGTCTAACGTAAGTCTTTTAACATATTGCAATTATATTCGTTTAATCTTTTGTAAATAAATATTCAATTTATATATATATATATATATATATAGTTACGTAAGAA